GGTATCTCCATATTGCTTTCCACAGAGGCTGAACCAGTTTGCAGTCCCACCAGCAGTGTAGGAGTGTTCCTATCTCTCTGCATCCATGCCAACATTTATTGTTTGGAGAGTTTTTGATAAAGGCCACCATTCTTTCTGGAGATAAGTGATATCTCATTGCAGTTTTGATTTGCATTTCCCTGATGATTAGAGATGTTGAGCATTTTTTCATGTTTGTTGACCATTATTCTGTCTTCTTTTGAAAATTTTCTGTTCATGTCCTTTGCCCACTTTTTGATAGGGTTGTTTGATTTTCCTTGCTGATTTCCTGAGTTCTAATTAAATTCTTGTTATCAGCCCTTTATCGGATGTGTAGCTTACGAAAATTTTCTCCCATTCTGTAGGTTGTTTGCTTGCTCTCTTGACAGTTTTCTTGGCTGTGCAGAAGCTTTTTAATTTGGATCTTATCATAAAAGGGTGTTGAATTTTGTCAAATGCTTTTTCTGCATCTATTGAGAGGATCATATGGTCTTTGTTTTTGCTTCTGTTTACATGGTGAATTACATTTATAGATTTGTGTATGTTGAACCATCCCTGGGATGAAGGCCACTTGGTTGTGATGGATTATTTTCTTGACAAGCACCTGGATTTGATTGGCTAAGATTTTGTTGAGAATTTTTGCATCTATATTCATAAGGGATATTGGTCTGTAGTTTTCTTTTTTTGTTACATCCTTTCATGGTTTTGGTATTAGGGTTATGTTCACTTCATAAAATGTGTTGGGGAGGATTCCATCCTTCTCGATTTTGTGGAATAATTTTTACAGGATAGGCACCAGTTCTTTGTAGGTGTAAAATTCGGGTGTGAAACCATCTGGTCCAGGGCTTTTCTTTTTAGGAAGGTTTTTTATTGCTCTTTCAATTTCAGTACTTGATATTTGTCTGTTCAGGAATTCTGTTTCTTCCTGGTTGAGCCTAGGGAGGCTGTGTGTTTCTAAGAAATTGTCCATTTCCTCCACATTTTCCAGTTTGTATGCATAGAGGTTTTTTTTTCTTCTTCATTTTTTTTTTATTTCGGCATATTATGGGGGTACAGATTTTAAGGTTTCAATAAATGCCCATTTCCCTCCCCCACAAGTCTGAGTCTCCAGCATGACCATCCCCCAGATGGTACACATCTCACTCATTATATATGTATATACCTGCCCCCCTCCCACCTGTTTTTGTAGTATTCATAAATTATATCTTGTATCTCCGTGGCATCACTTGTAATTTCTCCTTTATTGTTCCTGATGGAGCTTATTAGAGATTTTTCTTTTCTGCTTTTTGTTAATCTAGCCAAAGGTGCGTCAATTTTGTTTATTTTCTCAAAGAAACAACTTTTTGTTTTATTAATCTTCAGTATAGTTTCCCTTTTGTCAATTTCATTTAGTTTTGATTTGATCTTAATGATTTCATTCTTCTGCCGGGTTTGGGGTCGGTCTGTTCTTCTTTTTCCAGCTCTTTGAGACGATTCATTAGGTTGTCTGTCTGTGATCTTTTTGACTTTTGGATATAGGCATTTATGGAAATATACTTTCCTCTCAGGACTGCTTTAGCTGTGTCCCACAGGTTTTGGTAACTTGTGTCTTCTTTGTTATATAGTTCAAAGAATCTTTTGATTTCCATTTTGATTTCTTCATTTATAAAGTGATCATTCAGCAGAAGGTTGTTTAGTTTCCGTGACTTTGTGTAGAAATGAGAGCTCCTATTAGGATTGATTTCTACATTTATTCCATTGTGGTCTGAAAAGATACATGGTATAATTTCTATTTTTTTAATTTTTTGAGATGTGCTTTGTGTCCTAGGATATGGTTAATCTTAGAGAATGACCCATGAGCTGATGAGAAGAATGTATATTCAGTGGTTTTGGGGTATAATGTCCTGTAAATGTCAGTCAGGCCCATTTGTTCTAGAGTTCTGTTTAAGTCCATTATTTCTTTGTTGATTTTCTGTTTGGAGGATCTTTCATGGGAGGAAATTGGCTTTTTTTGAGACAGAGTCTCACTCTTAGCCCGGAGTAGAATGCCGTGGCCCAGCTCACAGAAACCTCAAACTCCTTAGCCTAAGCAATCCTTCTGCCTCAGCCTCCCGAGTAGCTGGGACTACAGGCATGCGCCACTATGCCCGGCTAATTTTTTCTATGTATTTTTAGTTGGCCAATTAATGTCTTCCTATATTTTAGTAGAGACGGGTTCTCGCTCTTGCTCGGGCTGGTTTTGAACTCCTGACCTTGAGCTATCCGCCTGCTTTGGCCCCCCATAGTGCTAAGATTATAGGCTTGAGCAACCGTGCCCTGGCCTAAACTTTTTTTTGAGACAGTGTCTCACTCTGTTGTCCCAGCTAGAGTGCAGTGGCGTCATCATAGTTCACTGCAACCTCAAGCTCCCGGGCTCAACTGCTTCTGCTGCCACAGCCTCCCAAGTAGCTGAGACTGCTGGTGCACACCACCACAGCCTGCTAATTTTTCTAATTTTTGTAGAGACAAAGTTTTGTTCTTGCTTGGGCTGTTTCTCGGACTCCTGGCCTCACATCCTCCCACCCTAGCCTCCCTGAGTGCTAGGATTACAGACGTGATCTACTGGGCCCACCCTACATTTTATTTTGAGATAATTATAAATTCACATGCAGTTGTAAGAAATGAGATTCCTAGTACCCTTTCCACAGTTTCCCCTGATGGAAACATTTTGCAAAACTGTAGTATGATATTGCAATTGTGATATCGGCACTTAAGATACAGAATATTCCCAGGGATTCCAAGGATGTTGGATGTCTCATGTTGTCATTCTATAGCTATGCCCCTCACCCCCACCCCTCCTTAGGCCCTGGTGATCACTAAGCTGGCAAATCTTTGTCAGATACGTAGTTTGTAAATATTTTCTCCCAGTCTGTGGTTTTGTTTACGTTTTCTTTTTTGTTTGTTTGTTTTTATGAGACAGGGTTTCACTAGAGTACAGTGGCATTATCATAGCTCAAGCAATCTTCTTAACTCACCCTCCTGGGTAGCTGTTCACTACCATGCCCAGCTAATTTTTTTTCTATTTTTTGTAGAGACAGGGTCTCGCTCTTGCTCAGGCTGGTTTTCAACTCCTGAGCTCAGGCGATCCCCTTGCCTTGGTCTCCCCAAGTGCTAGGATTATAGGGGTGAGCCACCACATCCAGCCTCTTTTCATTTTCTTAATTGGGTCTTTCATGGAGCTAAAGTATTCAATTTTGATAGAAGTCCAATTTATCAATCTTTCCAGTGGTGGATCATGCTTTTGGTGTCAAGTATGAGGGCTCTTTGCCTAGTCCTACATACTACATTTATAAGTCCATGATGTATTTTGAGTTTTTTATTTAAAGTGTGAGATTTAAGTCAAGATTCCATTTTGGAATGGGGGCTGGTATGTTCAGTTGCTCTAGTACTATTTGTTGAAAGGCTGTCTTTCCTCTGTTGAATTGCTTTGCACCTTTCTCAAAAATCAATTGAGCGTATTTGTGTGATTCTATTTTGGGGTTCTCCATTCTGTTACGTTTATCTGTGTGTGTTCTTCTGTCAGTTCCAGTCTTGAACTCTAGCTGTATAAGTCTGAAATTTGGCAGACTCATTACTTAACTTTATCCTTCATTTTCAGAATTTTTAGTTAGTCTAATTCCTTTGTCTTCCCATATAAATTTTGGAATAATTTTGTATGTACAGAAAAATCCTGATAGGAATTGCATTCAACTGTGTGTCATTTTGAAAAAATTCACATCTTTACTGTATTGAATTTCCCAATCTTTATTTAAATCTTGGTTTTTTTAAAATCAGTATTGTGCAGTTTTTAGCATTTAAGTTCTACACATTTTGTTAGGTTTATACTTGAGTATTTAAATCTTGTTTTTGAATGATCGTAAATTGTGTTGTATATTTAATTTTGATGTTAATGTGTGTGTGTACTAGTATCTAGATATACAGTTAGATTAAATAAAAATATTGTTTTGAGTTTATATTGAGCTATATATTATGTATGTGTGTGATCTATTAAATATTTTATTTATTTATTTAGACAGAGTCTTATTCTCTTTCCTGGGCTGGAGTGTATCAGCCTAGCTCACAGCAACCTCAGATTCTTGGGCTCAAGCAGTCCTCCTGCCTAGCCTCCCCAGTACTGGAACTATAGGTGTGCACTACCACGCCTGACTAATTTTTTCTATTTTTAGATGGGATTTTACTCTTGCTCAGGCTGGTCTCAAACTCCTGACCTCAAGCAATTCCCCCACCACAACCTCCAGAGTGCTAGGATCACAGGCGTGAGCCACTGTCCCAGCCTGTTATTTTTATATCTATATATATACACACAAATATATATGTAAATCAAAACATAGTGTTTATATTGAGCTATATATAATAGCCTGTATTTGAGACTGTGCTTATAGCATTTTAAGGAAAATATTTTATGGTCCAGAAATTAATCTACTTTTATTTTTTATTGCAGATGGAGTCTGGTGGTACAGTTTTGAGTACCAACTGGTCTGATGTAGGTAAAAGGAAAGTTGAAATCAACCCTCCTGATGATATGGAATGGAAAAAGTACTAAATAAATTAATTTGCTTTTATTGTATTGCGTATATTCACCTAATGCCCATTGTGTATTGATATTGCATTCTTGAATTATCAGCATTGAATATCTTTTTGAAAGATTATACCTCTTTACCTCTTTGTGCTTTAAAAATTATTTTCCTTTAAGTGTTCTAAGAGTCTAATGAAGAATGAAGATCTCATTTTATCATTTTTGTCCTTAAGTATTTTAGACATGCTGAAACTGAGTGAAGAAGTATCATTTGCTACTAGATAGATTAGTACTATCTAGTTGTGGGAGTGGAGAAATCTTTAATGATATATTTTGGGTTATTGCCTTATTTTTGATGCAGTATTCTGTTAATAATTTATTAGACCTGGCAGCTTTGGATACGCATAGATTTTTCAACTTCAGTATTATATTGTGTTTGCTTTTAAAAACTGCTTTTGAATGGAGTTGTAAATACAATTTTTCTATTAAGATGTTTGGTTTATTTACCTTTTTCTTAAGTTTTTAATGAGAATTTTGAGAAATTATTTATCATAGGGAATTCCCATTTAGTTCTTTTTATGGGAAGTATTTGTAACTTGTAATTGCACTGAAATATTTTGGTCCTTACTTTGTGAATCTCTGTTTATAAAACAAATACCTGAGTTTGACACACTGCAATGGAGGATAATCTGTAAAGCTGGGGCAAAGAAGGATCTAGGAAAACCCAGCTCCACTTTTTGCTGCTTTTGCCACAGCAGGATTCTTGAAAGTATAGTGTTGGGGTGTGGGGGGGGGAGTTAGTATGGTTTTTTTCTTTATTAGAAAAATCTCACATCCCCATGATTGCTTGGGTTTCAGTTGTTTGTGGTAGCTGCTGTGAGAATATATTAATATGTATATATTTAGTATTTACCTTGTGCCTAGAATATATAGATGCCATGGGAATACAAAGAGTAAAAGAAATGATTATTAACTTCAAAGAGTTCATAATGTAGCAGAGAGAAAATTAACATTCATGAAGGAATTATGAAATGGTTGAATGCTAAACTCATTATAAATATAGTTTTGAGACAGAAAAAAGTGTTCTGTGATAAAAATTCTTTACAGTCTCTTTATTACAGCTGTAATAAAGTATATGCCATGGCTGGCCTGACTTTCTGACTATAATTTTCTCAGCCATAGTGCCCCAGAAGTTGGTCTCTGTTTTGTTAGGTATCACTAACATTTTTGTGGTGAGGCACTACTCTGTACCCTCAGAGCTGGGCGTGGAGTGAATGGAAGGTAAATTGCCAAATTCAGGTCTTCCTTCTAGGCCTTTGATATGAGTTGTAGAGGAGTTCGTAAAGAAAGTGTCAGTGGGGTAATACCAGATAGTGCCCAAACCTGTTGTTACAGCTTATTTAAGCATGCTGAAGTTTTCATTTGTCCTTTTGCCCACTTAGAACTACTAGGTACTTTCTTTGTTCTCGAACACTGAAGAGTAAGGCAAACTTAAGTCCTTGCTTGGGTGGATTTCTAAAATTTCTCCTTAGGGAAGCAGGATAGTGACTTTTGTATTCTGTATGTTGAATTTACTCAGTACTATTAATCTTAAGCCAGAGGTGGGGTGGGCTGGGGAGACTGTTGGTACAGAAACAAAGTTGTATACACCACTATACCAGCTCTAGCACATCTCTCTTGCTAACTAGCTTTATAATCTTTAGCAGATTTAGACCGTTATGTCTTAGTTCCTTTATAAACTATAGGATCTTAGATTTAAAAGTCCATATTCTATATAAGGAAATATTTTTGCCACTTTTTCTTTCTTAAAAGTGACACTAATCTATTTTTGCTTATATTTTAGAGGATCCGTTATCTAGAATATGCTTACGTATTGGCTAGATTTGCTTAGTGTTGTGGGATTCAGGATTTTGCTGGTCTAAATGGAATTCCTAATATATATGACAAAAAGCATTATGCATCTGATTTAAATATGTTAGATTTATAGATCTAGGGAATTTTGAAAAGAAGGGTAGATTGCTGTCCATAAGTACTAAAGTACTCCTTCTGTTTCACCATTTTAAATAATGGAAACTTGTAAGCCTTCAGAAAGTTAAAAAAAAGTTCCTTCTAATTAAGAGTCTCTTAACTATATCCTTGTTCTCTGTTATCTCAATGTAGCTATTAATTGGTCTCTTTTTTCAGTTTTCATTTCTTCAATTTTGGTTTTCTTAGTGCTCTAGTTAACCTTTTGTTTTTTCATAATGTGCATTATTTTCTCTTAGCATTTCTTTTTAAGATTTAGTCCTGGAATACATTTTTTTCTTAATCTCAGAGACTTCATCTGCTCTGCTTTCTGCAATAATTTACAACTTGATGAGTTCCCAGAATTCTCCCACTTTCTTCGAAGAATCTTGAATGGGATAATCATCTTTGAACTCTGCTATGTAGTAATCACTTTAGATAGCTGTACCACAAGCTTGAAACATCAAGGTCAATTTTGATAATTTCCTGTCTTAAGTCTTTATACCAGCATTGGCACTTGCCACTTTTTAAAGATAATCTGTTTTCTCTGTCTTTATATGAAATAGGATGGCTTGTGTTAACTATAATTTTTTTTTTTTTTTAGCATTTTTCTTCTTTAGATCTGTGATATTCACTAACTGCAGAACATTGAAGCATTATTGTTATTGACTCCCTAAGTCTGGAAAAACTTCATATTTTCTTGGCAGGCTAACTGCCAAGGGAAAATAATTGGACTATCATAGGTAAATTTTCTAGGTGAATTTCAAATAAACATTTTAAATGGAAATCTATCACTATGCTATTATGAATAGTTTAGATAGAAATTTTAAAGTTGTCCACTACTAACATATTTTTGGCTATTCTTTCCCATTTTACTTTCCTCCTCTTTTCCCCAGTTACCACATAACAGATTAGGTAGTTGACCTCTGAAATAGGTCACAGACCCAGAGTAAAATTGTGTATTAATTTACCATCTGGTCAGCCTAATGTACTTTAATTCCTTCTGTCCAGATTAGTGTGCATCTCTTTAACTTGTGGCTATGGCAAATGCTACCAAAAATAGGTAGAAAATTTCTGGGTGGTATGTTTGTTTTTGTTAGTTACTGGAACTACTTATTCTTCGTAGCTACAAAAAAGTATATCTTCATGCTCAACCTGCTACTGTAGCCACATAAGAATATGTATTTCAGGCTGGGCATGGTGGCTCATACCTATAATCCTAGCACTTTGGGAGGCCGAGGCAGGGGAGGGAGGAGTTCGAGACCAGTCTGAGCAAGAGCAAGGCCCCATCTCTACAAAAATCCCAGAAAAAACTAGCCAGGCATCATGGCACACACATGTAGCCCCAGCTACTTGGGAGGCTGAGGCAGGGGAATCATTTGAGCTCAGGAGTTGTGGTTACAGTGAGCACTGATGATGCTACTGCACTCCAGCCAGGGTGACAGACCTTGTCTCAGAAAAAAACAAAAAAAAAATGGATTTCAGTTACTTTTGCTTAGACAAATCAGAAAGATGAAAAAAGCCAAAAGAACAATATACTGTTTTCTGTACAAGGAAGGGTCATATGTAGTTTTAAATAACAAGAATCATATATTTTGATCTGGATACCGTTGTCTCCAACTGTATCTTCCTCCCTCCCTCCCTCCCTCCCTGCAAATTGGAGATACTGATTTTACCCATATATATTACTGTTCGGGGCCATTGTCTATAATCCTGTCACTCTGAATGTGCTTGATCTTTTCTGTTTGGGGCTATCCATGTGATTTGCTTCTGAAATTAATTTAATTCTTAGCTTCTTTTCCTACCATGTTGAAGTTGTACCCCAAAGCAGCTAAAATCATACACATTGCTAAGCTACTAAAGCAAACAGTGGTAGCTACTGTGTACTGGCATTTTTATGGGCTGGGTAGCACTACCTCATTTATAATAGCTTTTTGAAGTAGTGATAACATCCTATTACTGCAGATCAGAAAGATGAGGCCACAGTTACGTTCTTTGTCCCAATTCACTCCACTGGTAAATGATGGAACTACCTGTGATTCCCTCTTCAGGTGAGTGAATTGGGTGTGCAGTGAATGATTTTATTACTAAATCAGCTATCTGAAAATGAAGTTGATAATGTACAAGTTGGAAGAATTATTTAATTCTTCTTGTACATGAGCTGGGAAAGTATATTTCTAAAAATTAAAATATTATCCTCACATTCTTAAGTAGGAAAGCTTATTAGGAATCCAAACCTTTTGCCTCTTACAGAAGGTGGTGCAAACAAGTAGTCTGATTTGTGTTGAAGGTACTGTTTTTCTCAAGTTCAGATCATGACAGAGTAACAGGATACACTTAACAGCTGTTGTCGGTATAAGACTGGCACATCGTGCTGATCAAATTCTTGTTAACTTGGGATCTCTCATACCCGTTTTCATTGTATAAATGCTGAGATTGTTTCAAGGTTTTATTCCTAGAGACATTATGCTAGGATTTGTGTATCACTGATTTCTTCAATAAAATTTGAATGATTTAGGTTAGTTCTTTTTTCCAAATCCTGTTACATTTTATATGTATTCTGAATTTTGGCTTGTTTGGAGTCTCCTAAATAATACTTTTGCCTTCAAATTTGTATTTTTAATTCTTGACTTACTTTTACAGTGATACTTGTTTTATTTAATTTGTATTTTTTGTTATGATTCCAGGATTCGGTTATACAAAAAGATGTTTCAACAACATTACAGTTTGCCTTAGGGCAATTTTTAGTTTATCAGAAAGGAGTTAGAAAAATGGTCTTTAATGCCTACATGTAGGTTTTTAAAAACTATACTGTACAATGCAGCCACAAAAGCTCTAAATAATAGCAATACTATTGCACATGATATATGCTTATTGCTTTAGTTAAGCACATTAAAAGGCAGTATTGCATTGTGGTTAAACACCTGGATCCTGAAGCCATCCTGCCTGGGATCAAATCCTGGCTACTCTGCTTACTAGCTGTGTGACAAAGGGGGGCCTACTTAATGGCTCTGTGCCTCAGCTTTTGTATCTATAAAGTGGGGATGATAATAGTGTCCACCTAA